AAGAAACTCACAGGAAGCCTCCAGGAGGCCCCCAAGAGGCTCCCAAGAGGCCCCGCGACGACGTGATTGCACGTGCTCCGGACGTGCACCCCGCGAAGCGAGAGGAATCCACGTCCGGAGGTGACGTGCTGAGCGGCAGCGTTTTTCGGCGAACGCCTTAATGCAACGTATCCAATGTACCCTATGATTGCATAGTTGCCACATGTTGCATTGTGTTGCATTCTTTTGTCTCCCCCTAGCCCCCCCTGGGAGCCGCGCCGCAGGAACGGACCAAAATGATCGGCCCTCCTTCTGGGGCCTCAAACCAACAAAAACTTATGAAAATCAGCAAATTCGGCCTCTTGGGCCTCTGGAGACTCCAAGAGGGCCTCAAGATGGCCCAAAATGGCCCCAAGATGGACCCAAAACGGCCCAAGATATTCTCAACGTGGGCCCATGAGGCCCCCAAGACGGCCCCAAGAGGGCCCCCAAAGCCCCAAGGACGCCCAAGAGGGCCCCTAGAGCGCCCACAACTGCGCTTCCAGAGGCCGAAATCATTGATTATCATATGATTTTTGCCATAGCGTGTTCACTTTTTTCGATTCCCAAAAATCCATGACGGCCCAAGCAGCTTCCTGAATCTTCCCAGAACGACCCAAAAAGCCTCCAAGAGGGCCCCAAGACGGCCCAAGAGGGCCCCAAAACGGCCCAAAGAGGCCCCCAAGACGGTCCAAAAGGCCGCGAAGACGGCCCAAGAGGACCCCAAGAGGACCCCAATGCGGCCGCGAGAGGCTCCCAAAACAGCCTCCGAGGAGGCGAAACAACGCAAAAGCGCCCCAAAACGGCCCAAGACGCCCCCAAGAGGCCCCAAGAGGCCGCCAAGAAGCTTCCAAAAAGTCCCCCAAAAGCCTCCAAAAGGCCTCCAAAAAGCTCCCCAAAGACCACACAACGACTGGAGTGTAATGTTATTTTCCCCCCTCTGGGCGAACTGCGGCGCAGCGCCTGCCAGGTGGAAATTGGTCACTGCGGCGCCCATGATAAGAGCCGGCGCTGGAAGGGAAGACGGGGAGGGTGTATGAAAAGGAGGGAGGGGGGAAAGGCCCCAAAGAAGCCCCCAAGAGGCCAAAAGAAACTCCCAGGAGGCCTCCAGGAGGCCCCCAAGAGGCTCCCAAGAGGCCCCGCGACGACGTGACTGCACGTGCTCCGGACGTGCACCCCGCGAAGCACAAGGAATCTTTGACAAAAAACTGTTCTGGATCATCTGATTCATAACTTACCAGTGGTTCGGGCATTGGCAGCAATGACGGTAATTACGCAAATGATGTCACGGCTTGAGACAATATGGCTACGGACCTTTTTGGGGGCACGTTTGGGCTTTGATGGGCCTCGTAGCCGTCTTGAAGCCAGCATGAGCGGTCTTGGAGCTTTCTTGGGGCATTCTCTTCTCGTCTTGGAACCCTCTTGGGCCGTCTGGACGCCATCGCGGGTACCTTTTAGAGCGCTCTCGGGGGGCCGAGAACGCGCCCTGGGCTCTGGGGTGTAAATCCGCCGACCCCAGAGGCGTCTGCGACTCAACTGTTCATCTGTTGACCACGCCCCCACCACGTCCCAAAAACACCCCCCCACCACGTCTCACGCCCCCACCCTGCTGGACTCTCTGTGTGTCGTGTTTAGCACCCCCCCACCACGTCTGACACCCTACGCGTCGTGTTTTAAGGGCCCCCACCCTGCAAAATCACGCGCCGGCACCCCCCCACCACGTCTGACACCCCCACCCTGCTGGACCCTCTGTGTGTTGTGTTTTAGGGGGCCCTCACCGTGGAAAATCACGCGCCGGCCCCCCCCCCCACCACGTCTGACACCCTCACCCTGCTGGACCCTCTGTGCGTCGTGTTTTAGGGCCCCCCGCTGTGCAAAATCACGCGCCGGCACCCCCCCCACCACATCTGCCACCCTCGCCCTGCTGGACCCTCTGTGTGTCGTGTTCTAGGGGCCTACGGAGAGGGCCCCAGGGGACCCCCGAGAAAGCCGAATCCAGCAAACAATCCAACCATATCAACTCGAGATTGTGCAGCAACTTCAGATGCACACGTGCACGGAACCTTTCTTTGCTTTGTGACGTTCGCGTGGCCTGAACATACTTTCAATGCTTTGAGTACCCGCGTTGCATCCCTGATTCCCCAGGCAAGCTCTGGCTTGCTGTCCGCACTCGTACTCAGTAGGCCAATAGGCCACACAAACACACACACACACTCTATCCAATGGATTTCAACATGCCAATCCGGCGAGTACACTCGACCGTTATCGCGTACCCTCGTCATGACCGTTTGTTGTCAAGTTTGTAATTTCGCTTTCTTGCATGACCAAATCGGTTACCATTTGCAATGCCACTGGATTTGCATTCTGGAGAGCACTGTCGTCCGCGTCCAGCAAATCATCATGTACCACATACTATGGTGCCACATCGTTATGTACAATTGCTTGGTAAGTCTTCTCTACGTCAAACATCACGGCCGTCTGCGCAATGATGTGCAAGAACGGCGACAGAGGGCATCCTTGAGCGACCCTGGCCATCTGTTTTCTCAACGTCAAGTCGCCGCCTTTTCTTTGAAGAAGAGTGCCCTGCCGTCCCTGTGAGCGTGTCTGACCAAAAACGGCTACCGACGCTCCTCCTCCTACTCCTGTTCCTGGTCCCCTCTCATTTCTTCTCTTCTCCTCTCCTTCTGCCTCTCCCCCGCGACCCGCAGGCCACATCAAATCCGCACGTACTGCTGACACTACACGGCGCCAGAAACAAGAGGAGGCCGGCACAAGCGATGATACGCCGATGTCAGCGGGCGTTTTTGCACAAGAGTGGCGGGCGCAGTGGGTAACGACGCCAGCCAGGAGCATACCAAGGCAACAACCAATACCACGACAACATGGACGGCCCGCGCTGAAAACAGGCCACCGGGAACAGCAAACAGCTTGACTACGTTATCCCAGTGCGACCCTACCTAGGAGTTGGAGCCCCTAGGAAAGCAGCCTAAGCTAAGCTAAGCTAAGCTAAGCTAAGATAGCTAAGCTAAACTAAGCTAAGCTAACCTAAGGTGAGATAAGCTAAGCTCAGATAAGCTAGACTAGGCTAAGCTAAGCTAATATGATATAAACTACTAAGCTAAGCTGAGCTAAGCTGAGCTACGGTGAGCTAAGCTAAGCTAAGTTAAGCGAAGCTCAGATGAGATAGGCTAAGCTAAGCTAAGCTAGGCTAGGCTAGACCAGGCCAGGCTAAGATAAGCTAAGCTAAGATGAGATAAGCAAAGCTAAGCTAAGCTAAGCTAGCTAAATTAAGCTAAGCTTAGCTAAGCTAAGCGAAGCTAAGCTAAGCTCACCCAGGGGGCGCGGGGGGATCCTGGGGGAACCGCGGGGCGGATGACGGGGGAACCGCCCGGGGCGAGCCCCACTGCCCGGCCCTTTTAAGCTAATAAAGTAAGAACCCTTCTAGGCAGAGCCTAGGTAGGAAATAATGGATTTACAACAAAAACGATTTGCTCGTCGAGTCTACGAAACATACGTAACATGCTCCGTAGATCTACGAAGCATTCTGCGCCTTCGTTCGTAGCTTCGGCGGAGAAATCAAATGTGGGGTAAATCAATTACTTCGTTGATCCCCTACTCGCATTATGCGGCCCCGCGGGCGTATGATTGTGGATGCCATGACAATGGACACTCGAACAATCCGATCATTGAATGAAACATGTGTTTAAGATGTGTAAAACATGCTATACAATGTTTCAAACATGTTTTTACATATTATTAAAAACATCTTTGAAACATGCTTTAGGCATCTGGAAATTATTTGGCAGCATGCTTTCTCTCCGTTAATCGACTTCCACAAACGTATAAGACAAGGCTGGGCGTGGGGCTGGGCGTGGACCTCGGCGTGGGGCCGGGCGCCGGGCAGGCCCAGACCTGCAGTGCATGGAGGACTGCAAGGCGCGCCAAGCTCCCGCCGACCACAACTGTGCAGGATGGTGACGGCAGTGCGACAGCCGACTGTTATGGTTCATATGCCCTGCTCGATTTGCGCGTGTCATCCTTGCGCAGGGGCCATGCCAATCTCCACTGTGTCGTTCCAATATGAACGGATGATCCCCGAAAGGAAATCCACTGACTGTTCATTGTTCTTATCCCCCTGCTTCTCGGTCTCGCGCCGGCAGGAATGTGCGCGAGCCTCGCGCCGCGATCTTGAAGCAGCAGCGCTCGCTCGACCCTCCGCCCTCTCGTGCTGGTCGTCGTCCGAGGCCTGCTTCCGAGACCCACTCTCTGCGCCCGGGGCCCGAGGGGACGCGGCCTCTACGAGGGCGCGCTCCACGAGCTCCGCCTCCTTGCCGACCTTGGTGCCGCACGAGACGAGAGCGCTTCGAGCTCGAGCCCCTCGTCGCGACCCTCCTCGGGGCTCGTCCTCGAGTCTTGGAGCGCTTCTCCCTCCAGCTCGGGCTCGGGGCTCGGGCCCGGTCGGGCACCGCGCGGAGGGCAGGGGAGCAGCCGACGCTCGCGAGCGCGCCTCTCCCCGGGGCACTCCACGCGAGGGCGTCCCCGGAGGCGCGGCCTGGGCGACCTCCCCCGCGGAGCCCCCTCGGACGCGACCGCTGCCCTCCTCGCCTCTGGCCGGGGAGCTGCCCACCTCGAGGGCGGGCGGGGCCAGGAGCGACAGCTGGAGCGGCAAGGGCTGTGGCCCTCGTCGTCGTCTTCGGCGGGTCGCTGTTCAGGAACGATCTCGTCGAGGGGAGAAGGCTCCGCAGAGGAGGGGCTCTGTGTGAAACATCTGGAGGCCCGTTCCTCCCCCTCCCTCCGCCCACCTCATCTTCCTCCCTCCCCCTCCTCCAACTCGACTCATGCTACCCTTCCTGCTCCTGCTACTGAGATCCTGCTTCTGATCTTCGCCCCCTCCTTTTCCAGCCTAATGTGTGGCGCGGATATGCCGGGCGAGGGGGCAAATAATATCACGCGCAGGCTCAGAGCAAGCCAGGACTGGCTTCCTTGGAACCGCTGTGCAACTTGACCTCGATGGTCGAGCCCATCAGTTGGCTACCTGCCACCCCGCCCCACGTGGAGACGGTGGGGGAAGGGCAGCACTACTAGAAGTGGGTGGACGAGAAGGATCATCAAGCTAACCCCAGCTCGAGCGAGTCAACGGTCCCCGCCCATTCCCACCCTCCCCCCATGACACAAGAACAAACTGCGGAGAGGTGATGCGGAGAGTCCCGCTGGAGAGGTCCCGCCTGGAACCCAGAGTCCAGAGAGGTCCAACCCAGAACCCGGAACCAGGCAACCGTTACCCACGATGCTGCTGAGGCCTGGGACCTGGCGCGGCGCTGCGATCGAACGGAACCTGCAAGCCGGCCAAAACCAAATCGGTCCAATCCGGAACTCGGAACCTAGAACCCGGAATGCTGCTGAGAGCTGGCGCTGCGAAGGAGCTGAGCCTGCAAGCCAGCCGAAACTGAACCTGAAACACAGAATCTGGACACCTGCATTTGTCCAATGCGGAACACAGGGCCCGAAATCTAAATCAGGAGACCGGAATTTTTCTGAGAGCTGGCGCTGGGGTCGAACTGAGCCTGCAAGCCGGCCGAAACCGGACGGAACCCGGAACCCGATCTGGAACCTGGAACCCAGAACCAGGAACGCTGCTGAGTGCAGGCGCTGCGATCGAGCTGAGCCTGCAAACCGGCCGAAACCGGAACCTGGAACTCAGAACCCTGATTCCGGAAATCTGGAACCCAGAACCCGGGATGCTGCTGAGAGCTGGCGCAGCGAGGGAGCTGATCAATAGTAAGCAACCAATCAATGAGCTCTACCTTCGCTTCCTTGTTTAACATTGTATATAAATAATAACTGTGTACAAACATATACCTATACACATACATGTGTACAACTATATATGTGTATATATACACATCTATTACGAAGAATTGCAATGATGATACTAGTACTACTGATAACAATGATACTCATAATACAAATGATAATAAATCAGTGAATAACTGAATAAACAAATAAAAGTTAACCGCCCTTCGGGCAACCGATGGTCCAAGGCGGCCCCACAGGCCTCCAAGATAGCTCCAAAGCAGCCCAAGAACCCCGTCTGCGGGCCACGAGACTGGTCAAGAAGGCCCTAAGACGGCCGCAAGAGGGCCCCAAGAAAGCCCCAGTGACTTCCAAGACCGCCCGAAAACGTCCCAAGAGAGCCCCAAGACGTCCCAGTGAGGCCCGCGCCCAAGACTGCCTCAGAAGACCCATCGCCCCCATGTAGGAACCCAGAGGCCCCCCAAGAGGCCCCAGGAGGCACTCAGAGGCCACCCAAAGGCCTCCTCCTCCTTCCCCAAAACAGTTGAAGACGCCTGCGGTCGGCCCGAGGTATAAGATCGAGGTCGGTTCGAGGGTCTCATGGTCTTGAAGCATGGCTGGGGCGGTGGTTCGCTATACGGCCCGACCGAGCCGTTCTGGAAACCCTTGGGGAGAACACCTGGGGAAAGACATCCTGAGACTATGAGACCCTCCGCCAGCCAGACTGAAAAACATTCGAGGGTACCCTCCCCCAGGATGCACAAAAACATCCGATGAAGACGACGAGTATGAGGGAACCCTCCCCGAACCGACCTCGATCTTATACCTCGGGCCGACCGTATGCGTCTTTGATTGTCTTCGCTGAGGAGCTCCTGCGATTCACGAGACTAGGAACTGGTTCAGCTTCCTACTGTACATGACCGCTTGCAATGGATTGGCTTAGACACAAGGCTTGAACATCAACCTTGCAACAACCACTACTGTTGCGCATGGCGCGTCTGCGCGTGGAGCTCGTCTCTGCTGAATGGGGCGTTGTATACCACGGGGGAACTATCTGAATGTGCGGTGAGCCCGTCAATGTCATGCCCAGCCGTTTTGCGAACGAGCTCCACTCGTACTGCACGTACTCTGCAGATGCAACCCACACATGTGTTGTCTAACTTCGCCAGCCTCCCAATTGACGGGGGCGATTGCAAGCAAGGCACGACAAACCAGCAGGTGCCTGTAAGGCCTGGTCAAGAATTTACGCGGAGACCAGCTTACCCGACGCATCATCGTCCTGTCATAGACCCTCTATACGAACCCACTCAAATATTACAAGTCCTGCCCGCTCGCTCGCTCCAGCCAGCGTAGATTTGCGCTTAAAGTCGTTGACGAAAATGGTGGCTTGCGCCACCTCTGTGCTCCATCGGGGCCGGCGATCACGATGCTGCGCGTGCTGCACCTTGACAACAACCAACTCCATAGGCGCGTTGATTCTGACTGTCTACCGTCAAGGCTCCATGTATTTGGGCAGGAGGTGTCCGCTGCCAAAGCAATCCGGGCCCAACATACGTGGAAGCATGGTGTCGGCGTAGGCTTCCTTTCGCGCCCCCCTCGGGAAGAATATGCAACTAGTTAAGGCAATCGAGCCACAATGACTCGAAACAACCGGTATAGGAAGCCGAAAGCGGGGACCGCAGATCGATTCTGGGCGCCTGTGGTCTGTCAGCTTGCCCTGGATCCTGGTGAACGACCGCCTCCTCCTCCTCGTCCTCCTCCTCCTTCTCCTGCTGCTCCTCCTCCTCCTCCTCCTCCCCTTCCTCCTCCTCCTCCTCCTCCTCCTCCTCCTCCTCCTCCTGGTCCTCCCTGCTTCCTTCCCACCGCGGCCGAAACACTTGGGCCTCCCACCCCCCCCGGGCCGTTCAGCAGCTGCATGGCCTTCTCGGCCTCCTGTGCCGTGGCCATGCGGACCTGGGCTGGCCGCGGGGGCCTCGTCGACCTCTCCTCCTTCTCGTCCTCGTCGTCCTCCTCCTCCTCCTCCTCCTCCTCCTCGTTCTCCTCTTCCCTCCTCCTCCTCCTCTCCTCCTCTCCCTCCTGTTCCTCCTCCTCCTCCTCTCCTCCTCCTCCCTCCTCCTCCTCCTCCTCCCTCCTCCTCCTCCTCCTCCTCCCTCTTCCTCCTCTGTCTGATAACCTTTTTTTCCCCCGGAGGCGAACGGAACTTGAGCCAAATGAGTGATACTGGATGTTGCCGCTTGCGCCTGCCTAGCCAACCGTTCGCTATCGTATATTGCACACCCAGTCGGAACGCTATGAAGTACTTCCCCCCACCCTCGGCTGATAAGCCGAATGTGGAGAGGGGTGAAATATCAGCAACAGACATCGCAGCGCATTGAAGCCAAGGCTCCCCCCTAACAAGTCAAGCCGCTTGAGGGGGTGAAAAGGCGAGTAGGACCTTTGGCTGTCCCCCATCCCTTCCCTCGGGGATGGACAGAACCCCCCCTAGTAAAACGTGGTTTAGTGGAGACGACCTCGGGCCCAGACCTGGCGGGAGCAGGCCTGGAAAACGAGGGCCGCGGCGCCCTCTCGAGAACCGAAAACGGACAACTCACTAATCGACGTGTCAGGGTGGGGGTTCTGTCCTCCTCCTCCTCCTCCTCTCCTCCTCCTCCTCCTCCTCCTCCTCCTCCTCCTCCTCCTCCACCTCCTCCTCCTCCTCCACCTCCTCCTCCACCTCCACCTCCTCCTCCTCCTCCTCCTCCTACTCCTCCGCCTCCCCGATACTTCCCCCCTCCCCGAAGGTCCAGAATCCGATCGGGAGGGAGGGCCGCCAGGCTCCCCAGCGCCCCCCCGGGGGCCAGCAGAGCCCCCCCAAAAGAGCCCCCAGAATTGGTCTGGGGCAGAGCACTTCTGAACGGGGCCCTGGGACAACACAAATCAATAGGCACAACAAAACAGGGTTCCCCATGCTTTCCCATGTGTTCTGGGTTGTTGTCTTCCCCCCCCACTCCCATATCTTCCCATACTTTCTGGGGAATCGACGGTTAATTGTGTCTGTGTTTTTTTTTCTGTCCTGAACTTCAGCAGTCCGACCTACACCCTGCGAAATGCTTAAGAAATCATGGGATAAGAAATTCATAGTCTCAGAAATTGACTAAAACCCAGAACTTCTATCAAAATCTTGGGATTTACATTCAAAAGTTAAGAATAATCGAGACTCTGGCCGAAAAATGAGGTTTTCTTAAGCATCGCCTAAGGTGTAGGCCAGAGGAAAATATCCAGATGAGGCCCTCCGTCGGCCACAACAAGCAGAACGTCCAGGGGTACCCTCCCCAGGATGCACAAGAACATCCACCAGGCACGCAGAACACGAGGGCACCCTCACCGAACAGACTTCGATCGCATACCTCGGTCCGACTGTAATCATCCTCTCCTCCCTTGGACGAGAATGATGTCATGATGCAGTCGAACTTGATTGGAGAGGACGCGCGAGAGGACCCAAGACGCTTCCGAGAGCCACGTTGCCGTAGGAGTGTAGGAGGCATGGGTCGCGAGACACGGGCCACAACGGGATTTGGCAGGGTCGACTTGCAAATCCAGGCCGACTGTGACGAGATCTTCATTCTGAGTCGTCTTCTGACATTCCCGGGGCCCATGGAGGGCCCCGAGAGCCCGAAAACAGCAAAACACCTCAGGACTCGCTTCCCTAGTTACAGGATTCGCTTCCCCCTGGCAATCTCTCGCTCCTCTGACTTCGGGGATCGTCTGACCCGCAGTCAGGCCGTGCAGAATCCTGCAAGATCCTGCAGGACCCTGCAGGGACCCAAGCCGGGGTCAATGCGCCCCTGGCCCTGCAGGATCTTGCAAGACCCGGCGCTCCGACTGACCCCCGTGGGCATTGACCCCCATCTCTTGAGACACGACGGCTCCTTCCCAGGAACCAGTGTTCCATCCTGCACGGTTCTTGACGGCCACAGGACCCGTTCAGAGGGCCCCGAGGGGCCGAAAACGAGGAGCAGACCTCCGGTCGTGATGTTCTCATGACGCGACCATGTCTTGGGGAAACAAGAAGGTACCGATACCGCTACTCACCGGACCTCTCCTGGGGTGCGTTCTGACCAGACTTTCGAGGCGAATCCAGCGGTGGCGACGAGGGCCTCTCAGGGGGCCCCCCCAAGAAGGAAAACGGACGAAGGGTAGCGGTACGGGCATCTTTCGCTCCCCGGATAACCGGGGCCTCTTGCGCCCCGATGACTCCCTCGCGGGGGCGCCCGAGGACTGCCCTGGCGGGTGCGGCAGGGGCCTCTCGGCGCGGGGGTAGGAGGAGGAGGAGGAGGAGGAGGAGGAGGAGGAGGAGGAGGAGGAGGAGGAGGAGGAGGAGGAGGAGGAGGAGGAGGAGGAGGAGGAAGGGAGGAGGAGGAGGAGGAGGGGAGGAGGAGGAGGAGGAGGAGGAGGAGGAGAGGAGGATGAAGGAGGAAGGAGGTGGAGGAGGAGGCGGCGGCGGCGGCGGCGGCGCGCGCCGCGGCCCGCGAAGGGCGGGCCTGCCCCACGCTCGGGTACGCGCCCCGCCGGTGGCCGGCGCCCTGGCCCTTGACGTCCGCATGGGCGATGGCGCCTGGCTCGGCGGCCGCGGGCCGTTTTGCCGGCGGCGCGCAGAGGGGGCACCTCCTCCTCCTCCCTCCTCCCCTCCTCCTCCTCCTCCTCCTCCTCTCCTCCTCCTCCTCCTCCTCCTCCTCCTCCTCCTCCTCCTCCTCCTCCTCCTCCTCCTCCTCCTCCTCCCCCCTGCCGCCCTCCTCGCGCTTTCGACTCCTCCCCCACGGGCGTGTGCCCACGGGCGTCTTCCCGCGGGGCGTGTGCCCACGGGCGTGTTCCCGCGGGCGCGTTCCCACGGGCGTGCCCCCTTGGGGGTGACCCCGGCGGCGCGCAGAGGGGATACATTTTTGGGGGCATCCTGGCGCTGCATGTTTGTTCACCACGGGCGTGTTGCCTCGGTTTCGGCCCACGGGACCCTCACAGATCGATCCGGCCGCGGCGCTGGCGAGAGCCACATTTTGAAAACGGCCCGCCCTCCGTCTGTGAAACTCTTGCAAACTTTCAAGACGCATGTGCATGGCGCTCAGGCGAGAGCCACAGGTTGAAAGGTACCGCCCTCCATGCGTTAAACTCTCGCGAATGATGACAACCGATGTGCGCGCCGCTCATGCGAGAGCCACATTTTGAAAACGGCCCGCCCTCCATCTGAGAAGCTCTTGCAAGCTTTCAAGACGCATGTGCATGGCGCTGAGGCGAGAATCTCAATTTGAAATGATCTCATTCGGGAATGGACAGACCCCCCTTTAGTAAAACGTGGTTTAGTGATAACGACCTGAGGCCCAAACCTGGCGGGCGCAAGCCTGGAAAATAACGGCCACGGCGCCCTCTCGAGAACCGAAAACGGACAATTCACTAATCGACGTGTCACTGTTGGGGGTTCTGTCCACCCCCGACATGTGCATGGCGCTGAGGCGAGAACCTCAATTTGAAATGATCTCATCTGGTCAACTAAAAAGGAGTCTCAGGCGAAACGTCCGGCCCGCCCTGCCGACACGTCTCGGGGTGCGAAAGGGAAGTGTTATTCATAAGGAACAGGGATGGACGAGGAGGAGGAGGAGGAGGAGGAGGAGGAGGAGGAGGAGGAGGAGGAGGAGGAGGAGGAGCAGCAGGAGCAGGAGGAGGAGGAGGAGGAGGAGGAGGAGGAGGAGGAGGAGGAGGAGGAGGAGGAGGAGGAGGAGGTGTGGGGGGGGGGCTCGGTGGCGTGGGAACGCGTGGAGCGGAACTTTCGGGGCGGACTTCGCGCGCAATATCTTCTGTGGGCTACTGGTTGTCCTCTGCTGTTCCTCCACCTGGTCCTAGTCGTCGTCCTCCTCCTCCTCCTCCGCCCCCTCCGGGGACACTCTCCCGCTCCTCATCCTGCTCCCCCTGCTCCCAATCATTTTTTGTTTTCTTGGGCATGCCGTGGGAGCGAGCACTCGCAGCGTTAGCCCCAGTCAGTGCTCCTCCTCCTGCCCCTCCTCACCCTCCTCCTCCATCCTCGTCCTCACCTTGCTCCACTTCGCCCCGCCCTGGACCCTCCTCTGCCTCCTCCTCACATCTCCCCCCTCTCACCTCCCCCCTCACCCTCATCCGACATGCAACATTGAAGGGAAACTGGGACACACAAATAAATACACACAAATAAAAAATCCCCATATTTTCCTATATTTTCTGGGTTTTTGTCTTCCCCCCCATTTCCCATATTTTCCCATATTTTCTGGGAATCGCAGATTAATTGTGTCTGTGTGTTTTTTCCCCTCCTGAAACATGCACTCGCGGCCAAGAATGCGTGGACGCAGGCCGCTGGCGGCAGCAGGCAGGCGGCGGCGGGGCGGCACCGCAGGACTTGAAGTGGTCCTTCAGCTCCTGCCCACTCGTGCTGCCAAGGGGGCCGGGGAGGCTGAGAAGGCATGAGCCGAGTGGAGGATGAAGAAGAGGAGGAAGAAGAAGAGGAGAAGGATGAGGATGAGGAGGAGGAGGAGGAGGAGAAGGAGGAACTGGGGGAGGAGGAGGAGGAGGAGGAGGAGAAGGAGGAAGGAGTGGATGAGGAGGGGGAGGAGGGGGAGGAGGAGGAAAGAACATGGAATCTGACAAAGACATAGCGGCCTATGCTGTCCGGGCACAGCGAACACCCGGCCCTGGCTCGGCCTCGAGAGTGTGCCGCCAACCATGCCAGGAACAGGTAATGACATAAAGGTGAACTTTCGGAGGTCCGCGCGGATTTCTTGGGTCGGCGCTGGACTTCCCTGTCTGGCGCGCGGGGCGCGCCATGGGTGGCGCCCGATGCGCTGGATGCGCCGCCGGGGAGCTCCACCGCCGATCCGAGATACTATCGCGGAACGTCCATCCTCATGTTGTCCTTCAAGGCTGGACCTAAACGGTGTGTTGGCGATTTCGTGGCCCGTTGTCGTTTCGATTTCGTTCTGCACGAAAAAAAGCGGATTGAAGACAAAACAAAACAACAAAAACAAAACGAAAACGAAAAACGCCGTCTAGGTCCAGCCTTGTTATCACTTTGTTCCCCGGGTTACAAGCCACGATCTCGTGATCGCGCCCGTCTTGCAACAGCCACGAAAAGCCGCGGCGCCCTCGAAACGCACTCGGCGGGGTTCCCGCCGAGACGGCGGGCGGCGGCCGTTGGCAGAACGGGGCGCCAGAGTGACCAGGCCTGTCCTGGTCTGCCTGATGGGCCGCGCGCCGATGTTCTGTGGCACGACGACGACGACGACGACGACTTCGTCGTCGAACTTGTCGTCGTCGTGCTGTTCGTCGTCGTAGTCGTCGTCGTCGTCGTCGTCGTCGGGAAACCCCCCATGTCATCATGCTAACTCTTGCGAACCAGCGCTGGCTCATGGTCCTCAGCGCTCATCGACGCCAAATCGACGCCAATCGATGCCGAATTGGCGCCAATCAGTGCTGAGTTGGCGCTATCCCATCGACCACCAAACTCTCATTAACGCTAGTGCGGTTTGAAACGGAAATCTGAAGACACGCTAAAATCCCATGAACTGTTTCGCCTCCCCCTTTTCTGCCCCCCCCCCCTCTTTCCGCTCTCACCCAACCCCAACATGCGCGCGTGGCCGCCAAAACGGTGGAGGCCTATCGCGCAGCAGCGCGGCAGGGAATACAGAGATTCACTGTCAGGCCTCCACCAAATCTTGACCCGAAGGCCCACGCGCACACCAGCATACTCGCTCCCGCCCACCTGCGATTCACCCACTCCTACCCTTAATCCTCCCATGATCTGGGACCTAATTCGAACCTCTTTCTCCGATGAGCGCAGCAAGCTGCCGTGCGTTATGCTGTTCCCCTCGTACTTAGGGACCACATCCAAGGAATAAGTTTGAGTACCCCGAGGAATATCGAAACAACGTCTGCCCGACGCGCAGGCGAAATACCGAACGAGTATCGCCTCCCAGGACCCGACACTTGAAGACCGTCCAGCGTCGATGCTCTCTCTCTTTGTGGTCAGAATCCAATCTGGTGGCCCAGGCGAAAGCAGGCTAAACATCATCAGTCGTGCGATGAAACCTCTCCCTCGCTGCCGCCTCTGCTCCGCTGCCAGCTCCGGATTCGTCGTGGTCCCTGGGTGTCGTTCCCTCCCCTGTGCCCTGGTGCTGTTGATCTCCCGGGTCGTCCACCTTGAGGGCCACATTGAAGGGGAACTGGAACACACAAATAAATTCACACAAATAAAAAGATTCCCCATATTTTCTCATATTTTCTGGGTTTTTGTCTTCCCCCCCACTTCCCATATTTTCCCATATTTTCGGGGGAACCGAGGACTCATTGTGTCTGTGTGTTTCTTTTCCTCCTGACACATGGCGGGCGGGGCGCGCACAGAGCACACTTTCCAACATCCCCCAAGCTCCAGCTCCAACTCCAGCTCCGGCTCCAGTTCCAGCTCCTCCTCCTCCTCCTCCTCCTCTTCCTCCTCCTCCTCCTCCTCCTCCTCCTCCTCCTCCTCCTCCTCCTCCTCCTCCCCCCCCTCCTCCTCCCCCGCGCTGGCAACGGCGGCCCCCCTCGCCCCGCCTGCCACGCCACCCGCGGCCCGAAACCCCGCACCGTGATCTTCGTGCCGTCCTCTCGGGGAGAAGCGGAGGCCGCCGGGGACGGGGAGGAGGGGGGAGGGGCGGGAGGAAGGGGGGGGGACAGGGAGGACAGGGAGGAAGGGAGGACAGGACAGGGAGGACAGGGAGGGGGGAGGGGCGGGAGGAAGGGGCGGGGAGGGACAGGAGGGGGGAGGACAGGGAGGAGGGGGGAGGGGAGGTACACCCTGCGAAATGCTTAAGAAACCATGGGTTAAGAAATTCAGAAGAACTGGAATAAAAACCCAGAACTTCTATCAAAATCTTGGGATTTACATTGAAAAGTTAAGAATAATCAAAACTCTGGCCGAAAACTTAGGTTTTCTTAAGCATCGCCTAAGGTGTATGCGTGAAGAGTGGACAGGGAAGGAAAGAAGGGGTGGGGGAGGGGAAACGGAGGGACGGAGGGGAGGAGGGGCGGGGCGGGGCAAGGCGAGGGAAGGGGGGAGCGGGGGTGGAGGGGGAGATGGCAGACTGGGTGCGCTCGCGCCATATCTGGCATCCGACCCCTCCCACGCATCTCTTCCCATGGCGCAAATGTTTCCGATCCGCGGGCGGGACGCGTGTCATGGCGAATCTGGAATTCCAACGAGGACCCATACCGTGTGATGCGCGATCGGAAATGGGGAGCTGCGTTCATTGGAGGAGGATGAACAGGAGGAACATGAGGAGGATGAAGGAGAACAGCATGAAAACGAACAACAGCAGCAGGAGCTGGAGTAGAAGGAGCGGGATGAGCAGGATGACCAGGGAAAGCGGAGGAGGGGAAAGGAGGGGGGTGGACATCAACGAGGAAGACTCTGATCCACAAAAGTGACCCGCGCTGGGGCGAAAGTGCCATCCTGAACGACAGTAGCAACCATGATAAAAAGCGGAAACTTATCGGATTGACAACTAACTAAACCATCGAATGGCAACTTCTGAAATCCTGTAGGCAATAAATACGCGAAGTGGGCCGAGCATCTTCCGGATAACGTCAAGGATGAGAGGAAAGTAGTATTCAGAACGTGCAATTGTGAAGGAGTGATGAGAGGGATGGGTAGAGGGGGTGGGGCAAGCTAGGTGCGTTCGCGTCATATCTGTCGTTATACCCCTCCCTCCCAACCCTTACCATGGCGCAGATATCCTCTTTTATGCGCAACATCTGATGCCGAGCAAGGCAATGATCCCGAGAGGGTTTGCGATGCATGGTTCTGCGGGGCATTACATCGTGTAGAAGGGCACGGCAAAGCAGAGCATGTCATAGCATGGCTCGGCATTGCGCAGCGTAGCATTGCAACACAAAGCGTAACATCGCAAATCATGGCATCGCACAACGGATAACAACGCAACATCGCAGTGCATGCCATGGCATGGTACCGGATGGCATGGAGGGTAAAAGGCCCGTGTAAATTCGAAAGGAGGAGGCATGTTCAGAATCCCAACTCCATGTCCTGCGCAACCGTGCCTGCCCGATGTGGGCGCTTTCGAATGCCCAAATGCCGTCTGGTGGGTGTACTGTGATAGTGTAAGGCCCTCCCCCTCCTTTCGACGCGCTGCCTTGCGTTCCCCGAGCCCCCTTCCCAGATTCCCCGGGTTCCCCGGACAGTGGACGTCAGCAGGGAAGAAAGGAGAATAGTATTCATATTGTGTAATTGTGCAGTGCGGAGAGGGAACGGAACAGTGGGCCAGGAAGGGGAACGGGGGAGCGGGGCGAGGCGGGGGGGGGGGAAGCAAGAGGGGTTGGGGATGGAGAGAAAGGGGCGAACATGGATGGGGCAGCGGCAGGGGGGAAGGAGGACGGGGAGAGGAGGGGAGGGGGAATGAAGGGGGGCGGAGGGGGGGAACGTGGATGGAGCACTGGCAGGGGGAAAGTGGGGGGACGAGGAGAGAGCGGAAGGGGGGGGGGAATGGGAGAGGGAGGGGAACGGGACGAGGACGGGGAGGGGAGGCACTTCTTCTGCAGGCGTGGGAAGCTCGGCATCTACCTAATAGAGACTGTCACGCGCTTCGCTGCCCATGCTGCCGTACACCCTGCGAAATGCTTAAGAAATCATGGGTTAAGAAATTCATAGTCTCAGAACTTGAACAAAAACCCAAGATTTCTATCAAGATCTTAAGATTTACATTGAAACGTTAAGAATAATCGAGACTCTGGCCGAAAACTTAAGTTTTCTTAAGCATCGCCTGAGGTGTATATTACCCCCGTCGTCTGCAACACTATCCACGCGGTGCCCATCATCGCCATCGTCCACGACGGCAGCAATAACACTGCACTGCTGCCACTTGATCACACGGGGGCGGTGCTGGAATAACCACGTGCGAAAGAACCCACCTGCGAGTGAATAGACACTCCGTCAAACATTGAACCCTACATCTTTGCTCTCCAACTTCAGGGCCGAGAGCAACAGCACCAACCAGATATAGCAATGACCATTCGAAAATAATCGTATGGTGTTCATGTCAGGGCTGTGCGCGCCGTTGGCCCCCGAGTACAGAGACCACCTGGTAGTCGCCGGGGCACAGGCTGAAAACACACCCCGGCAGACCTGATTTCCAAACTTTGGAACAACCTTACACATCCTCGATAACTCTCAACCAGAAGCAAGTCTACACTCAACCACGATGAATGTGCATTGAGCCCTCGACTGCAATCGTCGATCTCACAACCTGAAGCCCGTGTCCAAAGGCACCATCCATAAAGTGTACCTATACGACCACCCTGCGGGTGATAAGGAGGTTTGGGGGGGAGGGGGGCCAGCAATGGGCAACAATGGTGATTGTTGCGTTGCCGCTCGCTCTTGGGAGCCTTGGTGTCGAGTTGTTTACGTTCGCGGCCGAGTTGGTGTCGAGCTGGTGTGCGTGACCGAAGTGGGTGCGTTCGCGGCCCTCCCGCGTGCCGAGCGCAACAGAAGCCTTGAGCCGAAATCCCAGGATGGTAACAGAGTTGAGGGGGGGGAGGACCCAACGTCTCACTCAATCGATCTCACAACGGACCCCACTATCGCTTTCACAATCGATCGCACTCGATCGATCACACTATCGATCTCATTATTGATCCCACTCAATCGATCTCACTATCGATCTCTCTATCGATCTCACAAGCGATGTCTTTATCGGTCTCACGATCGATCTCACCATCGATCTCACTATCGATCTCTCTATCGATCTCACAAGCGATGTCGTTATCGGTCTCACGACCGATGGGACCATCGATCCCACTATCGATCTCACTCGATCACTCTCACTATCGATCTCACTCGATCGATTGCACTGTCGATATCCCTCTGGATCTCGCTATCGATCTCACTAACGATCTCCCTATCGATATCACTCGATCTCACAATCGATATCACTATTCATATCGATATCACTATTTATCTCACTATCGATCTCACGATCGATCTCACGATCGATCTCACTATCGGTCTCACTATCGATCTCACTATCGATCCCACAATCGATTTCGTCATCGGTCTTACGATCGTTTTCGCACCAGCGGGACACCGGGACACTGGCGGGACACCGGCGGGACACCGGCGGGACACCGCGGGCCACCGCTTGCCGGAGGGACAATCATTTGGTCCGGCCGGGGCCCAGCCACAAGCGAGACACCAGCGGTTGTCCCTGGGTGCGTGGCTGAATAAAGAACTCGTGGTGGGAATTCTGTTTGTTGCGTTGTTGCTGTTGTTTTTGCTGTTGTTGTTTGTTGTCGCCGTCCCACCCGCGACCCACCCGCGACCCACCCCGCGACCCATCCCGCGACTCACCCGCGACGACACCCGCGACCCACCCCGCGACCCAACCGCGACCCATTCCGCGACCCACCCACGACCCACCCCGCGACCCACCCCGCGGCCCACCCGCGGCCCACCCGCGACCCACCCGCGACACACCCGCGACCCACCCCGCGACCCACCCGCGACCCACCCCACGACCCACCCTCAAGGAAGGAAAAACCACCCGGACCCGACATTGGTTTAAAGACCAAAACGGCGCCTGCGGCGGGCTCATTGAAAATTTGTGAAACTTCGCCGCATGCGGCGGGCTTCTCCCGAGTCTCGCAAACTGCCGACGTCCCCACCGCCCCCTCACTCTTATCCGCATTTGCAGGATGTTCCACATTTCCAATGACTCTGGCTTCGGCCACGACTCCGGGCGCAAGTCGTCCATGCCCGGTGCCTTGCCATTCCGTAACTTCTTGGCTGCCGTCTTGATTTCGGCTATTGTGATGGGCCCCAGGAACATGTGAAGCTCCGGGTTGATTGGCGCGTCGTCGTCGAGCAGGGTAGTTGGACGAACCGCCCATTGCACTCTCTCCAAATGTTCCGCCAGCGTTTCAGCGCGACGGTCGCTCTCAACCAGCGTGCCGCTGGCATCCCGAAGCCGCCCCTGCTTCGGGCAGCGCCCTTTTCTGAGCTTCCGCACTTCAGCCCAGTTGCCGTCGGCCAGCAGACCTTCCAGCCAGGCCGCTTTGTCCCGAGATACTGACGACCGCACTGCTTTTGCCAGATTTGACTCCAGCTGTGTGTCTCCGCGCCGTCGTGCTTCTGCCCGTCGTGCAATCAACTCCAATGTGCCCTCGCCAGTCCAAGGCTTCCGCTTGGGCATTGCGCGCTCCGGCAAGCTCGAGGCGGCAGCGTGCCCAAAAGCATCGACTAGGCAGCACCATGACAGGTTGACGTCCACCACGTTGCTTGCGGACTCGTCGAATTCCTCCAGCGTGCGTGACAGAGACTGTACGAAAGCATGTCGCCCAAGTGCCTCATTGAGCTTCTGCACGTCTAGGCGTCTGTTCTGGCCGATCGACGACGACTTGGGCACTTGTAGAACAATTGGCAATCAGCAGAAAATGGTGCGAGGCGAGAGGGGCAGCTGGTTCAGCGCGCACGTCCCGCACATTGTGAAGCCAGTCTTGTTGGCACAACAGGAAATCGATCTGCGAGTGGGTCTGTGGCGTGATTGCGCCCGGAGTTCTGGAAGGCTGCCACAACGGACGGGGAGGGGGCCATTGAATGGATTGCCAAATTCTGAAATTTAGTGTGGGAAGGCGGTAAAGTTCCAGACGCTTGGCATTTGTCCCGCGTGAGCATGATATACAAAAAGGGTGACCCAGCATCATGTGATAATTACCGCCCAATTAGTCTGCTGCCGATTGGGTATAAGTTGTTCGCCATGATTATGCTGCGTCGGCTCCGGGAGGCTGGCGCGGAAGAGAAGATCTGGAAGACCCAATTCGGTTTCCGATCAGGGCGGGGGACAGCGGATGCGATCTTCCTCGCCCGCCGGGTGATCGTCGAGGAGGCATGGGCGACCAAAGGCGGAAGCGCCGTGTTGTTGGCCCTGGATTGGGCGAAGGCATTTGATTCTATATCGCCTGAAGCTCTGTCTGTGTCCCTGAAGCGGTTTGGGTGCCCAAGTAAATTTGTAGATATGGTCTCCTCGATCTACAAGGACCGCAAATTCGTGGTGACGGACTTCACAGTCGAATCCGCGGAGCACACCCAGACTTATGGCATCTGCCAGGGGTGCCCGCTATCGCCATTTCTTTTCACGATAATCATGACCACGCTGCTAAGCGACGCGCACAAATGCCTGCAGAACCAGATCGGGGAGGCCGTCCGGGAGCACGTCATCAGCGAGCTTGTCTACGCGGACGATACCCTTCTCGTCGGCAGCAACCCCGGGACCGTCGAGACTCTTATGCAGTGCGTCGAGAAGCGTGGGGAGCATTATGGCCTCAAGCTCAATTAGCAGAAAGTGGAAATGCTCCGGGTGAGGTCTTATGCCGTGGTCAAGAACTCTTCTGGGATGGCAATAACGTGCAAGGAATCGTTGATATATCTTGGAACATGCCTGACAGCTGACGGCCGGATCGCAGCGGAGCTCAGCCGGCGGATAGGGGCTGCTTCCAGTGAGTTCAAGGCGCTGCATGCGGTATGGACACATTCATCACTGAGTCGCAGGCGGAAGATAGCAATATTCAATGCTTGCATTGTGTCTAAGCTGCAATATTGTTGGTTCGCCGCGTGTATGAACAAATTGGAAAGGAGGAGGTTGGACGCCTTCCAAGCCCGCTGCCTCAGAAAAATCTTGCGAGTATCGCCGTCATTTCTGAGCAGAGTGTCTAACGCAACCGTTTTGAGTATGGCCGGACAGGGGCCGCTGAGCGAAGACATCTGCAGGCGACAGATGGAATTCATGGGACATCTTGCCAGGCGGGCAGACTCTGACCCAGTGCGCTGCTCAATATTCTGCCCTGGTGGCATCGAATTGAAGCGACCGGACGGGCCGCGGCAGCGGGGCAGGCCGAGACAAACTTGGAGCCACATGGTCATGAAGAATTGTGTGTCTGCTGCGGGCTCACGCGAGCGCGTTGCTGCTTTCTTCCGCCCGGATGGCGGAGCAGCGCGCGCGTGGAAACAGCAAGTTAATGCATAGCATTTGAGTGCGTAGCTGTGGCTCTCATCTCTCCTTTTCCTCCTCCTCCTCCTCCTCCTCCTCCTCCCTCCGCGTGTTTAGCACGCGCGGCCGATGCCAATACAGCACGCCCCGCTCATGAACAGTTTTTCTTTTGGCTGCTCACGGTCTCACCCTGCTCGCGCGCCGTCCGGACGCAAGGCTACTGAACTGAACTTCGGCCGCGACGCTTTGCGCAACCTGCTGTATCCAAGTGTCGTGGGCGCAAAGCCGTCACATATGCCTGGATCCTCTGCCCCGCATGTGAACTGTCGATTACTTGGTGTTGAGGAAGGGAGCCAATCACGCTATGTGCCATGCCATGGGCTGTAGGCTCTATCGCTTTTGATATGATGCCCCAGGCGCCGCTGACAAGGCGGAGATCGGGAGGGGGGGAATGCGGGTTGAAGACAGGACGGGGCGAGGACGATGGGGAGGCCGAGGGCTGGCGGGGGGGGGCGGGGCGGCGGCGGCGGCGGCAAGGGAAACGGGTCGGAGGATGGGAAGGTGGACGGGGCCCGGGATGAAGGAAGAGAGGAAAGGGAGGGGGAAGCGGCGCCCGACAGCACAGTCCTTGGACGTCGCATCTGGGATCACGGTGATGGTGGAGCCACCTTCCGCGAGGAAAGGTGCTTTCCCATCTCCTCATCATCGTCCCCCGCCATTTCCTCCTCCTTCTTCTGTACATCCTCCTGCTCCACCTTCCCGCCCCCCCCCGCCCTTCACCTCCGTCTGCGCACGGGGTTGCAAGCCAACACAACAAGAACAGTCTGAAGTCACTCAGTTTGCAACTTCGGGCAAGGAAAGAAAACCACAAACAAGTTAAAGAGGCATTCCTCCTCCTCCTCCTCCTCCTCCTCCTCCTCCTCCTGGCGGACGTACCACTAAGGAGGGAGCCGGCGAAGGCGATGGGTGGCCTGAGGGACTGACCTGTCCCTGGAGGCGGCCGCAAAGGAGAGCGCGCAGCTTATTGCAGCGCTTGTTGGGCGCACACCTGTCGGCCAACCTGAGAGCTTTTGTAGCGGAGAACTTGCCACATGCGGCGCAGACGACCACAGACAATTCATTAGGAATAACGCAGCTTACATGCAACAAGTGCCCAAAATGGTCTGAAGTCGTGAGGACCCGTAGCGTAAGAAATGATTCAGGACATAACAGCCAAACCTAAGTTTGGCATCGTTTTGCTGATGCAGAAAAAAAACGCCAGCAACCATTGCAGTTCCAATGCGGCGTGTGTGGGTTACATGTGGGAGCACTTTTAGCACCTCGGGGGCCCACGCTACCGTTCTTGAATGTCAGCTTGTGGCGGCCACTTTGCTAAGACGGAACCTATTACACAACACAACAACTGAAATAATAGGCCACGGCCGAATTGGCCTCGTCACTCTGGGCAGCCCGGAAATTAGGCATGCGGGTTTCCTGGCTGGCAAGCCGGTCGGCTCTCCTGTTCCTTTGGGTGCCCACGAGATCGGCGTGGTATTTGGCCTCCGACTCGCCACGGCGAGCTCGGACCTCTTGAAAAAGGACCCACCATCGGGGAAATCACCAGTGATTTCACGGGAGAAATTAACGTCGAGGTCTCCAGAGCCCAGGGCAGTTTGAGGGTTGAAGCTGGCTCCGCAAAACGCCTTAGCAATCTTGCTGGGCAAATCTCACTCGGTGCGAACAGCTCCTGCCACGAGCGCAGCATGCTCTGCAGCGCGCGAGCTCTGGCCAACGAGTTCCGGAACGGGTCCATCCATTCAAGCCATTCCGTTGTGCAGACAACCCACCGGGCCCGACTCACAGACCCCCCCCAAAGAAACAACGCGGGCCGAATCCCTGAGACCAGGGCGCAGGCAAAATCCGTCCGAGCACAGCTCAGCTGTGCGCGAGAACTCGCCGACACACTCCTTGCGAATCGACATACCCGAGTTCCCAATCCCCAACTGGCTCTGGCGCGGTAAACAGTGGGTGCCACGGCCGAATGAACAAAGAACTGTCAAGGCCTGCTTCCTGGGCAACTTCCACGAATCCCGGGGGGCAGAACTCTTCACGCTTAGCGGAACCGTGTGCGCACCCCCACGCAAAGTGACAAACGCAATCAACTGTGCGACAATCCCTACAATCAGGCTGGGGATCTACATCCCCACTTGCGAAGCTGAGTCGCCATGAGAAGCGCTCCTCCAGGCGCTTGACCGAGGCAACTCTGTGTTCCTGAGGGCATCGCGCGGCCCCCTGTCGAGCGCACGAACTTGGCAGCTGCCCCCCACCGCACCCCCCGAGCTCCGCGCGCGCCCGGTTTCCCTTTGGGTCTGGGCGGCCGTCTCGCGCGCGAACTGTTGGACCAACCCCGGGCTGGGCCGCGAACCTCTCGGCCGCGAACTGCGCTGCGCTGCCCGAAGTCCGCGCGCGTGCGTGGGCGGGTGACTTCGAGCGTCCACGGCCAGTGCGCCAGCTAGACAGGGCAACGGGAGGAGGGCGAGAGGGACGAGGAGGAAGGGGCAGAGGAGGAGGAGGAGGGAAGAGGATGGGAAGGAGGAAGAAGAGGTGGGGGAGAAAAAAAAAACAACACTTGCGTTGCATTCACGGCGCCCTCCGGCCAGGGCGCTGGGGCCGAGCCAAACAGAAATCCGGCTCGCAAATGTTATTCGTATGGAGCTTATTGCAGGATCCGCATATTTCAACCGACCGGTGCACCCCTGTCCCAACGGTGGCCCCCCGCCCCCGCTCCTCCGCTGCCCCTTCTCCTATTCCAACTGATCGTGCCCGAACTTCCCCTAAAGGCTCTCACCTGGTACCGGCCAGCCGCGCCGCCCCCCGCTGTCAGACTGCGCCGCCCTCTCCCCCCCCGCCCCTGTGCCCGCATTCCGCCCGACCGCGCCGCCGCCGCCCCCCTCTCGCCCTCTTCCTGCGATTCGGGCAGACCGCGCCCCCTCCGCCCATGCCCGACCACGGCCCCCCGCCCCCCATCCGACCTCTGAGAGTGCCCCCCGCTGCCCGACTCCGCCCCGTCCCCCCCCTTCATTCCGACCGACCGCGCCCCCTCCCCTGATCCCGACCTCGCCCTCCTCCCCGCAGCCCGATCGCGCCCCCTGCCCCCCCCCGCGCCCGCGCCCCCCCCCTTTCCCCGCCTTCCCGTCTGGCGGCCCCTGTCGCCTTACTCCGACCGACCGCGCCCCCCTCCGATGACCGAGCGCGGCCCCCCCGCCCCCCCCCTCGCCGCCCCCCCGCCCCCCCCCGCCCCCCCCCGCCCCCTCTTTCCCGTGTCCGCCCCCCCTCATTCCAACAGGCCGCGCCCCCCTCCCCGCTGCCCGACCGTGGCCCCTCGCCCCCCCCCCGCGCACTTGTTCCTAGCGACGACGTATTCCCTCTTCCCCCCCGCGGCCCTCTGTCCGTATTCCGACCGACCGTGCCCACCCCGCCAAGCGCCCCCCCGCCCACATCGGTCGTTCCCGACCGACCGCGCCCCCCCCTCTGTCGAACACATCTACAACTACACGCAGCAAAACTGCACCTGGTTGCGGGGACCAAGGCTGGCAATCATAATTAGTTTTGGCGCGTCGGTCGGTCTGGGTGGACGGACGCCGCCTCGCGACCTACGATGGAAGGCGATGGTCGTGCCGACGACGTTGCGTGCCAAGCGTGGAATCGATCACCACGTTTCACGGCGAGGCTTGGCGGCAACCATAAACATCATAACGCGAACAAGCGTTTCACCCTCGGACGGGGAATCCGGCACGAAGAAGCACTCGACAGCGCGGGGGCTCGGATCGCGGATGTGCTGCTGGGGCACAGGCGGGGAGGGGGAAGCGCGCTGCGCGAGGTCGAGGCCCCCAGACATACGGCCGGCTTCGCTGAGCCAGGGGATGTTAGGGAGCCCACAAAGGACGTACGCGCCCAGCTATGTACATGAACACGGCCCCTCGATCCGCGAGACCGGCCGCGGTATACGAATATTTGCGCAATGTGAACTCTCGAAACCAGCGTGGATTGATTCATGTACATGTACGTCCTTTTTCCGCTCCTGAGATGTGGAATGTCGGCGGGGAGCGGCCCACCTCAGACTCCGACCGACCGTGCGCCCCCCTCCGCTGCACGACCACGCCTCCCCGTTCGCGCCGCCCCCCCCGCCCGCCTCGCCTTCCGTCGACGGGCCGCGCCCCCCCTTCCCTCCGCTGCGCCCCTCGCTCGAATCCGGCCGACCGCGCCCGCCCCCCGCTGCCCGACCGTGGCCGCCTGCGTCCCCCCTCGCCGCCGCTCCCCCCGCCCCTTCCCTTCATGCCGACCGGCCGTGCCCGCCCCCGACCCCCCTGCGCCCCCCCCCCCCCCCCCCCCGTCCCCCCTTGTTCTTTTACCCCCGACCGTTCGCCTCCCCCCCCCCCTGCTGCCCGGCCGCGCCCCCCTGCTTTCCCCTTCCGCCCCCCCCTCGATATTCCCACCGACCGTGCGCCCCCCTTCTAAGGGGAAAACAACCCTACCTCGCTTTTGACCACCCTCGCTTCCAAGAGATACCAAACGATGCCAAACTACGGGCTGTACTGGTCAGGCAGCTTGACGAGGAGGCGCGTGGTATGACTTGGTTTTGCCTGGAAGCGAAAGCGGGGTAGGTAATTCACGCTCTGACCTTTCCCCCGCGCCCCACTTCACCTTATCCCGACCGACAGTGCCTCCCACCCTCCTCCGAGGAACCCCGCCCCAGGTGGTCTTCGGGCCACAACGCGGGCCTCAGGCGGCCGCTCGGGGCCCGTCGGGCGTCCCTGGCACGCTCTCGGCAGGGCGCAACCACTCAGGACATCCCGAGGCTGGAACGCCGAACAGACAAGGCGAACACGAAAACGCCCGAAAACCTCCAATCTGGAATTTGGATCCCCTACCGTTGCCCCCGCGATCCGTTTCGCACGGAAGAAACGGGCCCCGTGGGAAACGAGACCACGTCTTCATCCTGAACCGTAGAGGAGGAGGAGGAGAGGAGGAGGAGGAGGAGGAGGAGGAGGAGGAGGAGGAGGAGGAGGAGGAGGTCTCCTGGAAGTCCCGGGGCCTGCGGAGGGCTCTGGGAGGCCAGACGCGGAGGGAAACCTCAGGACCCGTGTCCTTCAGCACCCGCTGCCGTTCTCACGCCTCGGGGACCGCCGGAGGGGGAAGAGGAGGAGGCGGAGGGGGAGGAGAAACGAGGACGAGGAGGAGGACTGACTGACTGACTGACTGACTTACTGACTGACTGACTGGCTCGCCCGTGGGGTGGCCGGTGACCGTAAACCACAAAAGATCTCGAGGGCGCAGTATGAAATTCACTTATCCCAAAATCTTCCCCGCAAGCTCCCAGAGCACAGCTTTGTCTCTGGAGCTTTGGGGGTCTAATTTTGAAGTCCAGCCGGTTTGGTCACAGCGAATGACCCTACCTCTCGCAGACCTCGTGTTGATCTTGGAGCTTCGAGAGCTCGGAGAAATCTACACCTGCCGATTTGGGGAGACCAACTCGAAACCCTGGGTTCGAGAAACAATCGCTGGCCAGATGTCTGGATGACGTTCTAATTTGCTCTACCAACTAAGACAGCAGGGGCAATGACTCCTGTATCATTGGGTTTGCGGGATATCTCTAATTATCCTAGCGCGTCTAATGTTGAATGCCTCG